GTTTATTTGAGTTCATTTGTTACTGTTTGTATTCCTCTTTGGATTCTTACACATTTTTTTTTTACTTTGAGAAGTGTGTAAAGCATTGCTATGGTTCAGAGAGTTGAAGTTATATAAAAAGAGCTATTACAAGAAGTATCTCTTCTAGCTCTTCTTCCTCACAACCCCACTCCCACATCTCATGCCTGCTTCTTTATTTTTTACCAACCTTTATAGTCACACAGTATTTTGTGGTTTCTGGTTTATGCTTCTCCTGTTACTTGTGCACAGATGAGCAGATTAATACGCATTTTATTATATTCCCTTATGCTTTTATGAAGGGTGGTAGCACATCATATAAACTCTTTTGACCTCTGCTTTTGTTTTACTTAATGATTTGAAAATCATTCCAAATTAATTCCTAGGGATTTTCCTTATTCATGTTTTTAGAGTGGCATAGTATTATTCAGTTGTGTGGATATAGCATAGTTATTCGACCACTCTCCTATTTATGGATATTTAGGCTGTTACCATTATTTTGCAATTACAATCAGTGCTCCAATAAATAAACTTGTATATATTGAAGTAATTTTGTACTATTAGAGGTATATTGTCTGAGTAGAATCCTAGAAATGGAATTTCTTGGTCAAAATTAAGTGCATGTGTGCTTAAGTTTTTTAATCACTCTGTCTGTCATTTGTATGCCTATGGGGATGACTATTGAGGGTTAATGTATATCCTTCATCAACACACAGGTTACTGAACTACAGCTTTTAATTTGTGTACCTTTTTTAAAATTTAACTTTCTTCATTAGTTGCACTTAGCACATTAAAAAGTATATTAAAATTGCATTGGAGTTAGGAATTAGTCTTGCATAATTTATCCCTTTTCAAGGTTCAATAAATACCATTGTAATGTGTCAACAGCCTCTAATGAAGGTAGTAATGATACATTACATTTACAGCCCTATCATCCCAGGTGCAGACTAGAATTTTATGATCACTGATAGAGAGTAGGCAGTTCAAGAACTCTAGCAGTGACATAATGACTAAGTATTTATATAATGCTATCATTTGCCCAGAGTTTTTTATTTTTCAAAATTCTTTCAAGTCTTTTCATTTTATAGCAACTACTCAACTGTAGGATGAATTGGGGAAATATCAAATAAATTACGACATTTATGTAGTGCAAAGTCCCTTACATCTATTATCTCACTTGAGCCACAAACCAACCTCATGAAGTAGACAGGGCATACAGTCAACCTCCCCATTGTCCAGGTAAGGACGCTGAGACTCAGAAAAGTGAAATGTGATCCCGATGTCAAATATCTGCTAGGTAGTAGGGCTAGAACCGAACTTGAGACTAGACCACACTACAGGTTTTATAGCTACCTGTGAAACAACAATGAAAAACTGTCCAAGGACATGATATAGTCAAAGAGAGGCAAATTACGTGCTGTATATTTTGGAATCAGAAGATTGCCTCAGGCCAGATCCATTCTGACCATGTGCAAGGCCCTACTCCCACCCTAAGTGCTGCTGCTGTAACAGAATAAGCACTGGCCAAACGACCAGCCTTAGTTTGCACGCCAGTTCTGCCACTTTATTAGATTTTGGGCCTTGGTGAGCTATTGAACCTCTCTTTTCTTACCTCTGAAATGGTTATCGTTCTGCAGACCTGTTGGAAGAATTAAGAGTAACTTTATCAGAGAGACCCTCCCTGAAGCCCCCAGCTAAATGTTATTCTATCCTACAGTGGTCAGTCCATTTCCTTCAGAGCACTTGTCACAATTTAGAGTTATGTTTACTTTTATGTTTATTTGTTTCACATCTGTCTCTTCTGCTAGACTATAAACTTCATGACATTAAGGACTCTGCTTGGTTTTGTTACTCTGTGTGTCTTATACCACCCCCATTAACCACTGAATAAATCTCTCTGAAATGAGTCTTCCCACTTTCTTGTACTTGTTTTTACTTCAGCCACGTAGAATACCTGCAGCTCACTTGTCCTTTCTCATCTCTCTACTTTCACACATGCTGTTTCCTTTGCCCAACATACCTATCCTTGTTTCTTTGTTTATCTGGAAAACCCTTACTCATCCTTCAAGACCTAACTCAACTGTTCTGCGAGGGCTTCTGACATATCCCCATTTCCCTGAAGCATGAGGGGGCTGTTATGCCCCCTTAGCATGCCTTTGTTATAGTCGTTGCTGTATTCAATGGATATTTTTAAGAACCTCCTCTGTATGAGGCGTGTGTTGGGTGCTGGGCACACAGCAGTAAATAGGAGCTGTCATTCTACTGAGGGAGTGAGCCACAAAGAAATAAACAAATAATAACATTCCCAATAGCAATAAAATGCTAGGGTGATCAGTTCTGAGAAGTTGACTTTTGACCTGAGATCTGAAAGGTAAGGAGTTGGAAAAGGGAAGAGAGAGGGGGTGAGCCTTGGATTGTGACTGTTTACTGGGCTGTTCCTCATTTCTACCCCACCTCACCCCCACCCCCCACCTCCACTCACCTGGCCTCTGAGCTCCATGAATCTTATATTCCTAGTAACCAGCATAGGCCCAGCATGTCACACTGCAGTTCCACCACTGGTGGCATGGCCTGTGAGAACTTCCAGTTGCCTTGCTCCATGGTTCTGCTGGGAGCTGGCTCCCAACTTAAAATCCACTCCCCAACTTACTATCTTGTGACACTAGGAAAGTTATTCAATCTCTCTGTGACTCCATTTCCTGATTATTAAAGTGGAAATAACAGTAAGACTTAACAGGGTTGCAGTTAGTAATAAATTAGATAATGCACCTGAAATTCTTAGCCAAGGGCCTGGCACATGGAGTGTAGTCAATAAATGTTGGCAAAAATGCTCTAGAGCTCATGAGGTGGTTATTAAATAATTGAATGAGTTGAGAAATAATAAAGTTTCTCATCCTGGCTAACACAGTGAAACCCCGTCTCTACTAAAAAATACAAAAAACTAGCCGGGCGCGGTGGCGGGCGCCTGTAGTCCCAGCTACTGGCGAGACTGAGGCAGGAGAATGGTGTGAACCCGGGAGGCAGAGCTTGCAGTGAGCCGAGATCCAGCCACTGCACTCCAGCCTGGGCAACAGAGCGAGACTCCCTCTCAAAAAAAAAAAAAAAAAGAAATAATAAAGTTTCATTCTAACTTCAGTAAATAGTGCTAAGTCAGAAGAAAAGCCTCCAAACATCAGTAATTTTACCACCCAGAATCAATAGCTATTGACGCTTTATCTGCTTATAAAGCAGGCTGTGACAGTCAGGGCTTTTCTGGATAGTACAGGGCTTTCGTGTTCTAGCCTCAGACCTCAATGAAACAACTTCACAAAATCTACCAACCTCAGGCCATCCTGCAAGTGGTGCTTTGTCATCTTTGGAAATTATAGTTTGAGCACTTTGTATTAAAAGGGATTTATTTTATGTATCCCCTACTTCATTTTTCTTAGCAGGTCTTCAGGATATCATAAGCAATGAAAGTTATGATGGTACCAGAGAGAACAATTTTCTTAGGTCAGAGACACCAAAATTAACCTGGGATGTTGCTCCTTCTACACAAAGATAGTATTCAGACCATTTCTGCAAACTTTTAGTAGTTGGCAAATCCCCAAATCCCTTGGAAAACTTTAAATATCAAAACAGCATGCACAAAGATGAAAACATTAACAAACTGGTACATAAAGAACTTAAAAAAAAAATTCTCTCTATTGTATTTTCACTGGGAAATGCTGGGATCATGATTGCTGTTTGTATAAACATTAAATATCTGGCTCCTTGGGAGTGCTTTCCTACTGGAATGTACAGACATGAGTTTTCTAGTAAAAAAATAAAAAAAAAATACTGAGGTAATTAGCAAAGAAAGACTTTTCCAAATATTCTCTTCTGTGAGCTGTAGGAGTAAACATTTGTTAACATGAGTGCTTAACTCTGTCCATCTAGTCAACACATTTTGGGAACTATCATTCACCTTTATTGTCACAGAAATCAACTTATGCTATCTTAGAAGGAGGAAATTATCAGAAAACCATTTCTCTTTTCTTTTTGATATTTGTGGCACTGTTTTCAGGGTTTTCATTCACAAACCAATGCACCATAAACTGGTGCTGGAGTATTGAAATTTGTTTTTCTGCTCCATAAATATAGAGGTGGGCACATCTATCAAAGTCGGTAGAAAAGAGCCACATTCACCAACTGGTCACTCTGATGGGGTAATGGGCTGTGGGGCTTTGCAGTGATTAGTAGTGCACGTCATAGATTGTGGGATAAGAGTCTGCACTTTAGTGGTGGTACAATGCTAAACAGCTAAGAAGACTACAGATACTCTCATGGTTTACAGATGACAGGCTTCATTTTATATGTTAATAGAAGGAAGACTTCTGATAGGATGAGGAAATTCACCATAACAAATGCATTCCCTTCACTGAACTCTAGCATGGCACCAGTTAAAATCAGCTGTATGTATGATGTACTCTTAATTCCTAACAGTCCCAAGAAGTACTAATGTGAAAAATATTTTATACTTTTACATTTTATAGGTCATGAGCAGATGGAAAAAATTATGCCAATTGGTAAAGACATTCACATGCAGTATAACACTCCTCAAAAAGGTGTTTACATGGGTTTTTCTTGAAAAAAAAAATTAAAGTTATCTTGGGTAAAATTATTACTTGGGTTTTCTTAAACGTTGTATCTGTAATTCATTTTAATGTATTCCTTCTGCAGAGCTGCATGTTTGAAAGCACAGGTAACCTTGTAATGAATAAAACTGATAAAAGGTTGTGTCCAATGAAAGGGAAATTATGGAATGATTATTCACTTTGCAAAAAGGTTTGTCATAGGGAAGCTTTCCTAAAGCATTCAAATTTAATTTAGTTTGTAAAACATTCATTTACACACAAAATTTCAGGAACAAATTTAGTGAGGAAATGAGATGAATAGTCATAATAAGATAGAGCTCCCTTACACTGCTAACGTTAATGCTTTCTCTCTGTCCCTTCTTGCAGCACTGATAGCCATTGGGCGGTACAGCATGACAATAGAGACTGTGGATGTTGGATGGTGTAAGGAAATTACAGACCAAGGAGCCACCCTGATTGCACAGAGCAGCAAGTCTCTGAGATATTTGGGGCTGATGAGATGTGATAAAGTAAGAGTTGACTATCAAGTTGTTTGCTTTCTACATATCAGTATAGTTAATAGCTTGATGTCGTATCCTCTCCTTCTCTATCCCCACCCCCATATATTCTATATTATATATACATTGTGTATATATATACAATTATAGCTATGCATTGTTTGCCTGCTTTTGTAAACTAATCTGGGATTATCTTTGCATTTCCCCACTTAATAATTCTGTGCTTAAGCAGAAAGAAAAAGTAATCATATATATATAGTCAACTTAGAGTTTGGCATCCTATTTATAAGTCCATGGACCAAAATGTAAAAGGTTACATGACAAACTGCAATTTTCAGGGTCTAACCGTAAAATTATATTCTGTGTTTCAAGTTTCCAGCAACAGTAAAGGTGGAAAGAACAGTGCCAAATTGGTTTTTCACAAGTGTGTAATTTTGGTACTGAACATCTATGTATTCTGGCCACTCGGGAACAAGAAAGGGCCAGTGAGGGAGTATGTGGGAATTTGCATCTCCCCGTACATCAGATGCCACTCCTAGCACGTGATAAGAAGTGATTCCAGAGGTCCTGGCGGAAGGCCTGTGGAGCTGACCAGCGATGTGAGCATGAGTTTAGGAAATGGTGCAGCATTTAATGTGGGACCCTTTGAAGACTGAGAAAACAGATAATAAAAATCTATACTGACACCTGTAATCCCAGCATATTGGGAGGCCAAGGCAGAAGGATCACTTGAGCCCAGGAGTTTGAGACCAGCCTGGGCAACAAGGCAAAACACTCTGTCTCTACCAAAAAAAAAAAAAAAAATTAGCCAGGCATCATGCCACACACCTGTAGTCCCAGCTACTAGGGAAGCTAAGGTGGGAGGATCCCTGAGCTCAAGAGGCCGAGGTTGCAGTGAGCCGTGATTGCGCCACACTACCCCAGCCTGGGTGACAGAGCAAGACCGTGTCCCAAACAAACAAACAAAAACCCAAAAAAAAACCTACGCTAGACACCAGGCACTCCACAGATGTTTTCTTCTTCATTTATTCCATGTTTTTCCTATAACAAGTCTAAGAAATAGTTATTTGCATTGTGAAGTGGAGAAAATGGAGGCTCAGAAAGACCAGTCAGTGGCCCAGGGATACTCTGGCAAGACTTCACGCCGGGTCTTTGGAGTCTGTATCCAGTGCTACTGGCACAACCCAGGGGGCGTTCTCTGGCCACGGGGACTGCTTCCTTAGAAAAGGTCCAGTTCAGACACTTGCTCAGAAAGTGCCGCCATCTTGTACTAATTTACACATGTGTGCTACTTTTGTAAATGGTGATTAGGAACAAATCTAGCAAAATAATGTGAAACTAAATAGACTTGCCATTCAAAGGGCATGCATTTTCTAAATGTAGCAAATCTGGGGGCAAATGAAGTATGGCCCAAAACCCTTGTGTCCTTTGTCATTTTTTGTTAATTGACTAATTCTTTTCTCCAAACACTTTAGAATTCCAGCTTATAGTAGACCTTTGCCAGTTAGTTATGTTTAGAGAAATGTTGTTATATATTCTCAGCCCAGCCCGGAAGCGACTTACTTTGTAACTAAGCAACAGCACTGAGACCCAGGGCTTGCAAGTCTCCCACAAATCTTTCTACTAACCAACCTAATGCTGCTGCTAACCCTGCCACTTTAAAATGACTTCTTTTAAGACAAGTTAAAGGGTCCATCATAGGCAGAGTGCTCTAGAAACAGGAATCAATGACAGCAGAACTCCTCAGCTTCCAGCAGAAGCTGCCACGTGAATGCTGTCTGACTAAAGCTACCAAAATGTAAGCATTCATGCATATGTGTCCACAACGATTCTCAGAAATTGCCGTATTTCTAATCTGTAATCTTTAGATGGTTAAGATCGGCTCCATCTTCAGAGATACACTGTAGAAGTTGTATGTTACAGTTACTACAGGAGAATATTATTCCCGACATATTTGCTGACCAGCATTTTGCTGATTTTTAGTTAAGAAATGGGTTATTTTCTACCCAAATGCAAATTAGTCCAAAATTAAATAGAGACACTGTACAGATTAGCTGTATCCCTAAGGGTTTTAGCCCTTTCCCTGGGCTGCCTCTGAATCCTTTCTCTAACCAGAGAGCCACTCTGAGAACCCATTGGCTCCAGCATGATGCCGTCTGGTCAGAGCCTGCTGCAGCACAGCCCAGGGAGATGCTGGACCCAGCCTTGCTGTCTGGCTTCCTCAGACTTAAAGCAGCTCAGAGCCAAATACGAGAGGCTCTGTGAGGATGGAAGACAGTTCCAAACCACACACAAAGCACAAGTAAAGGCTTGCACAGAAAAGCCTGCTTGTTGGTTTAGTTGGATGGAAATGTAAAGTAGCTATTCAGTTTTCAGATTTTGTATGATGCCATCCATCTCCAGATTTTAAGTTACCATCAAGATTCAAAGGAAGATTTGAGTAGCAAAGAAAAGAAATTAGTAGCAAGGGTATAGTCTGCAGAGCCAGAGTTCAGGTTCAGATCTGGGTTTTGCACTTACTAGTTGTGTCACCATGGGCAGTTACTAACCTCTCAGTGCTTGTTTCCTCATTTGCAAAATGAGGATACTAGTACTTATCTTGTAGAATTATGAGCATGTAAATGAGTTAACATATGTAAAACACTTAGAATAATGTGTATTATATATAAAATGATCTGTTACTGATTATTCTTATCATCAATATCATTATATTAACCCGTGCTGTGATAGTGGAATTTCCCAATGAGAAAAAAAAAAATTGTATTGCCTCCTATTCAATTTTGAAAGAAAATTAGAAAGAAAGGAAAAAAAAAAAACTCAAATTAGAGAATGCTTTGCCTTTGTGCTTTTTCCTCAACTAAATTTAAAATTAAGATTATTTTTTATATAAAGATGTTAGTAATTATACTTTCTACACACCTCTGCAATGGAAAACTAATGCCTCCGTAGGACACTCAGTATTTGGAATGAATTTATTAACCATCTACTCCAGCGCAGGGATGCAGAAAGATTTGCAGTGGGAGAAAAGGGTGAGTTGAAGATAAGACTGTTCAAGTACTTAGGGAAACAGAAAGTAACAAGACAAATAAAGGTGAAAAATAAGAATAGAAACAGGAAACAGAAAAACTATGATTAGGGAATGGAGAAGAAGATACACCATCTCTTGGCAGTCTATGATCATCTGTGCCAGCAAAGCATTAAAGAACAAAATTAATTTGGCCCTGTCACTTTTCTCCCTACCTTAACCAAATCTGCTAACCACTAATAAAACCCATTAGAGTTTTCCTCTGTGTTTCTGCACACCAGTGGCGCCAATGGAGGACGCAGGGAACCTCAACATCTACTCAGTAAATTCCTCGGCCAGGAATGGCATCAGTGGGATCCCTGCACTGGAGAGAGATGTGGTTTGTGAAGTCTGTGTACCCTTGCACTGGTATTCTGTGATCCTGTGGTTCTGAGAAAGAACATTCTAGTTGCATGTTCTTTCACAGTCAGTTTATTGAGGGCCACTTATATTTAATACTTTACCAAACTGATGCTTTTTTCGTCATTTCAGCTTTTGAGGAATTGCAAGAATAACAAAATGCATTGTATTTGTTGTAGGAAAACAGTGTTTCCCCCCACGACCCCCACCCCCATCTCTCTTGGGAGGTTAGCAGAGAACAAATGAGAAAAGTTAAACATATTCATTGCAGACGAAAGCAACATGTACTTGGATTGTCAAACAAGGGCTAAGCGAAACTGCAGTAAATATGTTTGGCTGCAACATTGGTGATTCCTGGGGAGGAGTCCTCCAGTCATTCAACAATGCAGCATTCCCCATGCAGTTGTAAAGTCAGGAAGTGCATTAAGAAGCCCCTGTTTGAGTAGCTTTTCTGATTGCTGGATGGATAAGCATGTTAGAGGGTTTTGAAGCTGACGCCACTTAATCTCCTAAACTTTAGTGCATTGTAAGAACCAAGAGAAGAAAACGCTGTGTGAGACGGCTTTGATGAATTGGGGTGAGCTTATATTCTTAAAGACTGTTCAAAGGCTTACTTGACCTTGGGAATTAGAGTTGACCCGAAATCACCTATCAACTTAACTCACATTTATTTGGTGATTTAGTTAAAAATACTTGCGTAATCAACGGAACTCTCTAATAAGAGCAGTATGTTCACTCTGTTTTCCGCAATCATAAACAGAAGCTTTGGTCATAGAAATGGTTTTTGTGACTTCAGTGAATTCTAGATTCTCTATAGATCTGTTTCTTGTAATTGTATTATATTTTCTTCATTTCTTATAAGGCAGTTTGGATGGAGAACAAAACTATAAAGGACCAAAAAAAAAAAAAAATCATGAGAAAGCTGTAGGACAAATGGAAATGCAGTGTTCAAGGTTAATGAAAAATGTTTGGGATGACAAGGTTGATGAGAAGGGAGGAGGCACCATGGCCTGGCACTGGCAGAAAAAAACAGCCCTCACCAGAGGCAGCCTGGCTAGTTTGCGAGGCCTCGGTGGTAAAGTGTCGTGGTGGAAACCTCTGCAGTGTGTGTTAATACAGAAGTTTGGAGACGCAGGCCTGAATTATGAGCAGTGAATAACATCATAAACGTAGCAATTCTCAAATGCCAAACCCTTGTGAAAAGCAGTTGGATGGAGAAATGCTGGAGCTTTTAAAAGCTCCCTTTCACTTTCTATTTTTTTTTTTAACTTCATGCAGAACTAATTTTATACACTGTTCATTTGATTTGAAAATGCCAGCGTCTGGGGTATCATTAAAGAGCGTTATTGAGGGAGCCACTCTTGGCAAAGCATTTTGCTTAAAATGCTTGGTTCTTATGTCCCTGCATAGTTATAGATGGGGAGGAGAAAGTGTGCCTCGGTTTACCTAACCCCACGCCTCTGCCATGGCCTGGAGCAGATGGCTACCCTTCTGCTGGGAGGTTTTTTTTCCTCCTTGGCCAGTAGAGGCGCCTGGAGGGCTGTGGGGGCCACATTACTTAAGGAACAGACATAAATAGATTGTGAAA